AGATTTTAGATGGTTTGCAGAGAGTGCAAAATCACGAAAACTGACATTTTTTACAAAAGGTTTAAGTCTTCCTTCCTGAAGATAAAAATAAATGTTTTTGGAATCATCCTTTAACAAGTATTAATAGTATCTACATAGTCCTTTCAGACTTTGGTAATTGGGGCATTTAATCCTTCTTACATCAATCAAGGAAATATTAGTACCCTAGTAACAAAAATATGAGAGGGACTTTATCCACTGTTTTATCTCTGTATTCAGGCATTGTCACTGATCCAAAATTTCATCAGTTATATAATCTTCATCTTGACACAAATATATTTGAAAGTAAGCACTGGAAAATAGCTTTCAATGCCAGTGGTTTTCAAATTTTGTACTGTGTGTAAGACGTAGACCTTATCCCCAGAAGGTCTGATTCGGCAGATTGGTTTAGGACCCAGAAATCTACATTTTAAGCAGGAACCCCTAGGTGATTCTGATGCAGTTGGTCCGGAGACTGTGTTCTGATGAACATTCCTTTATGTTTATTATTCCAAAGACTGAAACTAACAGACTAGAGAAACAAATAAGTGAGTCACTGGGAAAAATGGGTTCACTTATTTTACCTTGACTTTCAACTTGATGTCAAACAATGGCTGTCTCTGTACAACACCCTCTCACCCAACCACTTGGGATTTCTGGTGCCCCAAGAGTATTCCCCTCCCAGCCATGAAAATCACAATCAGGGCTGCATAAACTGCTCACAATAATCTCTGAAGGCTAAGGAGATGCAGAGACAGGTGAGTCAGATAGGAAGGGGTAAGTCATATCCAGAGGAAGTGAGGCTCATACAGATGCCCTTCCGAGGACCTTCCAGCTTGCATGTGTCCTCAGTTTGCCAGCGTTCTCCTAACGATGGCTCCACACAACACATTCCTAGATATCACTCTAGTTGTGGGCTGCTTTTTTCCCACTCAGAAAGCAGAACTCTTCTTTTTCTCTTTAACTTGCTCCCTCTTATTATGTATTTGATACATGCATATGTTAAATGGCATATGTTAATTAAAGTTTAATAAAGCTAATAATGTCACATATTTGCTACCAAGAAATCGAAAGAATGAAAAAACTCATTAAGGTATAATAGGAAGATGACAGCAATCTGTTTCTCTTTTCTGCCCATCTGTGCTGCTGCCAGTTCAAAAGTAAAGCAAGGGCCACCATGAGTTTCATTCTCAGAATACATTTTCTTATTTTTTCATCCCAAGGTACAAAATGACCTCTCTCACCTCATTTTTGTCCTTTCCACTCTTATCATCAGTCAGGCACACAGCAGATCACTCTCAAAAGTCCTACAGGTTATAATGGTTTACAGTTTTAATTCAAGATATCTGACACCAATATGAATTTCATATCATACAGACACTAAATCTTATTACTCAGATAAATATTCTACATTCAGAATCATCTTAGCAGCACCCTGTCACCTTAAAAATGTGGCTATTTAGCATGGATAGAGATGGACAGAGATATATAAATTTTACATATAAAGGTAAAATGGGAAAAATTTAAGAGGCGCTGCACAGTTGCAGGGAAAAAGTACACTCGTTTCATAAAAATAAATGGAAAAACAATAAGAATAAATATTCTCCTTTTGCCTCTTGAACTTAAAATGATATTATCACATCATGATGCTTAGGAAGATAGGTGTTTTGTCCCAACAAATGAAAAAAGTTTGTCATTTGAATTTGTCTGAACATCTGGTGGATAGTGGCACTATTTTATTGGGATGGAAATGACCACAAGAGAAGGTTTGGGGTGGCAGAATCTGTATGTTCCGGCACTGCTGAGTTTGAGATGCCTATTGGGCACCATCACCATCGTAGAGATCTTAAGTAGAGAGCTGGCTGTGCAATCTGAAGTTCTGAGGGGAGATCAGGGCTGAAGGACAAGAACTGAGTGTTAGTGGCATGAAGACAGAACTCAGGGGCAGTGTACAGATAGAGAAGAGATGGCCACCTCAGTCCATTAGAGAGACTGTGTAGATGGAGAAGACAAAAGGCCCAAGGACAGAAGCTTGGGACACTCCAACATTGAGAGGTCACACAGAAGAGAAACCAAGGATGTCAGAGACATGCTTCCAGTAAGGTAGGAGCAAAAACAGGAGCATATGGTATCACAAAAGGCAGGTGCTACAGTATGGATGCTTGTCCCCCAGAACCTCATGTGGAAATTTGATCCCCAATGTTGAAGATGGGATCTAATAGGACGTATTTGGGTCATGGGGACAGATCCCTCATAAATGGCTTGGTGCTGTCCTCAAGGTAATGAGTGAGCTCTCACTCTATTAGCTCCCACAAAGCTCCCCTGGCTCTCTCTTGCTTCCGCTCTTGCCATGTGATCTCTGCACACGCCAGCTCCCCTTTGCCTTCGGCCAGGAGTGGAAGGAGCTGGAGGCCCCACCAGAAGCAGATGCTGGCACCATGCTTCTTGTTCAGCCTGCAGAATCACGAGCCAAAAAAGCCTCTTTTCTTTATAAATTACCCAGCCTCAGGTATTCCTTCATAGCAACACAAACAAACTAAGACACCAGGAAAAGGGAGTTTCAAGAACAAGGGTGGTCAACCGCTTTAACAGTGTTGA